GAAAATCAAATAGACAGATAATTATAACTATATCTATTACAGAAGCTGAGCTTGTTATAATCTCATAAGCTGATAAGAAGTCTATCTGATAAGATAGATTCTTTCAACATATTCAATTTAAATCTGATTACAAGATTCATATTTAATGTGATAATTATTAAATTATTAATATTCTTACAAAGAAAGATCTCTCTATAATCATGAAGCTTTATCACATTGATATATATAGAAGCTGACTCTGAGAACATGTTCAATCTGACAATATTACAGTTAATTGAGTGCCTACAGCTCAGATGTCAGTGAATGACCTCACTAAGACTCTGTCACACCAGAAACATACAGAATTCATCAAGATACTAGACCTAGTTGATATATCAGATATTATCAAGACATAAGCAGAATGATGATATAAATAATCTATTTTGATATAATCTCTATAGATTCATCTACACTCTTTTTATTACAGCTTCATTTACACTTTCATTTACACTTTCATTTACATGTTACATTCACTGAAGAGAGTGTGTCAGAAAAAAGAGATTATACACTACTGAATATCATCAACATTATATTACTACAATATTTCTCATCATTATCAGCTTACTATAACACTCATCTAATACTTACTTATACTAGCTCTCTTGACTTGCATATATATTTTACTATAAAGAGCTCTATCTTTTGTATGAAATAGATAGATTAGATAGTGCATGAATAATATAACAAGCAGATCTTAATACATATAAGATTCATATGTCTTCAACATATTCATCCCTGACACTTATTCCGACACCGGACCCCTCTCTAGTGTAGAATAGGAAGGTTGATTCTCGTATTAATCTTGAAAATGAGCTAGCTAAGATATTGTGGTGGACATATTACTTGCGAAAACAGAATTTTCCCAGCCCCTCCTGAAAATTAGTAGCAAAACATCATCAAAAAATCAAAATATCTGCATTTCTCTAGAATCATTCAATATCATTCAATACACGTCTTTTTCAATCAAATATCATTCAAATACGCGTCTTTCTTACCTTTATCATCAATATGTCATCTCAACTCTGTGATTTCACTATCAACAAGATTGTACACCTTCTTAAGAATAGTTATATGCCTGCTGAGATCACATGAAGCATTGATTGTCATCTGGCTACTGTATATTAAATTCAATGAAATCTTCACTGCTTTGAAACTGCTAGAGAACCTCATTCAACATATGATATAAAGTCAAAGATCACACCAGATATCTTGTCAGAATTGAAGGATTTTTTCAAGATATATTCAACTGCATATCGCGATGAGGCTGTCTACTTTATAAAGAATGAATTTAATGTTGATATCCACCTGCAGTCAATATCTAGAGTGTTGAAGAAACTGAATTTAATATGAAAGAAGATGATCAATATTACAATCAAATATCACTTAATGTATAGAACCTACTAATTCATTAGTTCTATAATATAGGTTGAACTCATAGTCACTCAACACAATAAAGAACTTCAAGCTGAATGATGTATTTAACTCACTCAGTATCTCTCTGATCAACTGATCTTTTTGAATGAGAGTGTTACAAATAAATATACAGAAGATCAATGATATGAATGATCAAGCAGAGAATTCTCTTGTTGCATTAGAAGGCCCTGTAAACAATCTCAAAGATGATTAATCTTACCCGCGATAACTGTCAATGAATATATTAATTATGATATATATCAGAGGTTCTACAATACAGAGAGGTTTAATGAGTTTGTATGTATTCAGATACTACTCAAATGTTAACAGAGTTATCACTACTTAGTGATGAATAATTGCAATACTCATCAATCTCAAGAATTGAAGAATCTTTGCAGAGATGCAGATATTGAACTCTTATTCTTATTACTATATTCACCTGACTATAATTGTATAGAGGAGTCTTTTCACACATTGAAGAAATGCATTAGAAGATATAGAGATCAGTTAGATACTCAGTTTGATAAAGATTTTAAAGCTTTTTTACATCATACAGTTGATAACTTTATGAGAGAAAAAGATGTAAAAGAATATTTCAGATCTGCTCATATAGAATAGTATTGTAATAATCAGAAAGATTCAGATTGTAATTCATTCAACTATAATACAGATTTAGAGGTTGAAGCAGTATAAGATCTGCTCTCATCACTACAAGCAGTTGATAGAGATGATTTGAATTCCTGCAATCTTGTCTGTCATAATAAACTTTTTAATCCATCTCTTATAATTTGAAATATACTCTTCTCAATATTCATATCAAGCAACTGTTCTCTTGTCAACATTCATAGATGATTCAATTCAAATCCTTTCTTCTGAAGAATGAACTTGGCATCTAACAAATCAGAAGCTTTATTAGGTCTTCAGATTGTCAATCATTTGAAGTATTCATCAAAGAATAAATCTGCTTGTTCATCAAATTAAGGTATTGAACTGCTTTGAATTGAAGATGGATTTGATGAAGTCAACAGCAGAATTGATGAAGGGTTTGACAGCGGATTTGATGAAGAATTTGACAGCGGATTCAATGAAGGATTTGACAGTGAATTTGATGGCGGATTCGACAGCGGATTTGATGAAGGATTCGATGGAAGATTTGATAACAGATCTGAATATGAATGATAATGAGGTTGCGAATTCAGTCCTTCTATTTCTTTCATTATATATTTCATCATCATCACATTGATTATCTCACTTGAAAATGTCATATTTGATGAAGTTGAAGCTGCTGAAGCTGAAGAAGGGAATATAACTGCTGACAATTGAGAAGTCTGTATAGAAGAATTGAATGTAGAAGTTATAGATTCATTCTTCTGATCCTTCTTCTTCTTTCTACTCATTAATTGTTTTATCGTCTTTCTTGAAGAAGTCTTAATCATTACTTTATCACATTCAATATCATCTATTCAACTTGCAATCTCACTACTCAGAAGTTGAATATGAGTATCATCATATGCTATTCAGCAAGTGCCCTGCTCAAAGTTATGACAATTCATCTTTTGACAATGTCACTGAGCAGTTATCTCACATTCAATCTGCAAAGAATCTTGTTTCTTTGATCATTGATTTCAAACCTTCTTCAGTTGTTGACTGGTGGCTGTGATTCTTGAATGTGTAGATGGCTTTTCATCATCAGATATTTCATGAATTTGAGAAGATTTGACAGGACAGTGGTGAGAATTGGAGAATGATGAGATTGTATCTTCTTTGACATCAAGAGCTCTTTTTGATGCTAATGCCTGAGTTGCTAATTGTGAATCTGGCACTTCAATAAAAGCTGCAGGACTGTGCATTGCAGATGTGTTTGAAGATAGTGTTGAAATATCAAGAAGATTGAAAGAAGAGATGACTTCAATGATAAGATCACTCATCTTCTTCTTATACAACTTCTTCAAAAGATCAATTATCTTCTTTCAATCCTTCTCCTTCTCAATGGTGATTTTGTTGGCCTGAAATTCACATTTATATGATATGATAACAGCTGTATAATCTACAACTTCCACCTTCTTACAGATCTGCTTTATAATATACTTCTCAGTCATCTTTTCTACAGTATATTGAATATGAAAGAAGCTGATAGTTGGATCATTTACTGAGACAGTTCAGTATTTGATCTTGACAGAATTCTTTATCTCATTGATAATCACCTGTTCATACAATCTGTATGAGATGTCAGACTCAGGTGTAGAGATTCGCGGATATTGAGAATTCTCAGACTAAGTCTCTATATTCTTCTCATTCATCTGCTTCTTCATCTCATCATTGACCGGATTCTCTTCATTATCTGAAACTTCTGAAACAGGTAGTTTGAGGAGACTGAGACACAGAGTAGAAGTCTTTGTATGAGCTTGTGAAGCAGCAGAACAGCGGGTGTTATAAGATATATTGAAAAAAGAGTTGATTAATATATGTGAATTTGATAATAAAGATAAGAAAGACATGTATTTGAATAATATTTAATTGAAAAAGATGTGTATTGAATGATAATTGAATGATTCTAGAGAAACATGGATATTTTGATTTTTCTTGCTACTAATTTTCAGAGAGGGCTGGGAAAATTCTGTTTTCACAAGTAATATGTCCATCACAAGTGGG